AGGAAAATCTGTGGCTGTTATGTATAACTGAATAGTATTGTAAAATAAAAGAAAAAAATAAAAATAAAAAAATACAGTCAACAACAAAAAAACCAATATGGCTCCATCAGAAACTACATCAGCAAGGCCTGAACATCCCAACCCAGAAGAAACAGAAGAAATCGACCTTAAAAATGACCTTAAGAAGATCATAGAGATCTTTAAAGAGGAAATGAAAAATTCCCTTAAAAAATCGAGGAATAGTCAAACAAAAAATGGGAAGAAATCGGTAAATCCCTTAAAGAAAGCCAAGAGAAAGCAATTAAACAAATGTGGAAAACAGCTCAAGATTTCAAAACTGAAATGAAGTCAATAAAGAAGACAGAAACAGAGGGAATATTGGAAGTGGAAAATCTTAGTAAATGAACAGGAACTACAGGTGCAAGCATAAGTAACAGAATGCAAGAGAGGGAAGAGCAGATCTCTGGCTCTTGAAGATAGGATAGAGGAAATCGCTTCATCAGCCAAAGAAAACACTAAAGCCAAGAAAATCATGATTCCAAATGTCCAGAAAATTTGGGACACGATAAAAAGACCAAACCTAAGAATAATAGGGATAGGACAAGGAGAAGAATACTAATTCAAAGGCACAGAAGTGAATACTAGATGTGAGGGAAGGGATGGCCAGACTGCAACCCACAGCACCACAGAGGCTAGCTAGCAGGGAAAGACCCTAGGAGGGACACATGGATGACCCTGCAAAGAAGTGGATGAGATCTACATGAGCAGACTGGGTGTGGGGCAATGGCAGAGGGCGAGGAGTTGGGGATGAGAACATAGGGAAATGGGAGCATCAAGCTGGAGCAGGGACAGAGTGGGAGGACAGGGAGGTACTATGATAGATGAGGACATCATGGGAATGGGAAGAGGCAGAGTGCTGAGGAGGCTCTCAGGAATCCATAAGGATGACCCCACCTTGGTCAGTGGTCCAGTGGTCCAGAGGGTGCCTGGACTGGTCTACACTGGTGACCGGTCTGGCAAATAACCTAGATGTCATCATAGGGCCTTTTTCCAGTGGCTGATGGAGGCAGATGCAGAGATCCATGGCCAGG